CGGAAATTCGACTTCGCTGATATCCCGGTGATTCTCTTGCCTGGTCTTCTTGATACTGTCAAAGTCATACAGAAGCACTTCATTGCTAGCTTTAATGAGCGTCGTGGCGCTCATGACATCCCGCGCTGCTTGGAGCGGGCTCTAGCGAGGCAATAGACCTGCTCTCTCTTTCTTTGGTATCCAGATCGACGACAAGAGCTTCGATCTTGCTCTTGATGGAACCAGGGATGGTCCTCTTGGCTTTTCACTTAGCTTCACAGTACCTCATTCTAGTCTGTTCCGTGGGGTTGAAGTGCCAAGCTGTACGCGTCTTTCTTTGCCATAATCGCGAGGGACATATCCTCGTTCCAGAACCAGGCACATCGGTCCGGTCCTGCTTGGATTCCTTCTCACAGCCAATGGTCCGCGCTGTGCCTCGGATTTCCCCGACAAGTCTCTTCCAGCTTTTTTCTTCTATCTTCGTGGCCTGGCGGCAATTCATCGATAAGAGGTCCTTGACAGCTGGTCCCAGTACAGCTCAATCCTGTTCCTCAAGAGCTTTCAGCTGACTGTGGGCTGCTTGAATACAGATGAGTTGGTCGGCATTTTACCAGGGGAGATCAACAGATCATTCCGACCATCTGCAATGAGGGTGCACCGCTGTACGCGTCTTAAGATAGCGAACTAGAATCTACCTTCTAGATTTGCGAAGCGGTTCTCTTAACGGATTAACTAGCTCGACACAAATCCCGTTTTGCTTGAAGTTGACTATTTGGCAAGCTACAACTGCCGGCGTGCTGGCCATCAAGAGCCGGCCCTCTGGCGCCAGCACGCTCGAGGAAGAACTGTAAGAGAAACCTCAATAACTGCGTTCAGAGAACCTTTTCGCAAATTCTGAAAGTGGATATGAGCTCGTGGTCTCAAGAAGCGTACAACCATGTGCACCTACTTGCAAATGGCGTAACCGACCTGATGACCTTTCCTTGTTCATGGTTGCAAAGAATAGACGGTGTTGACAGCTGACCGGTACCGAGGGGATCACCTTGTGGTCTAGCGTCCCACTTAATTGGCTCCTCCGCGTCAGAGTGTAGCCTATCTGAGTCTCACGTCCACACTGTGGTACGTAACTAGGTGGGATTCCTCTCCTGGAATAGGGAGTTGGTGATAATCAGATCCAGTGACTTGGCGAACTCCAATTTGCGTGAGCAACCTTCATTAATTTGCAGTGGGCGAATCGTCCCTGAACTTCTTAGAAATGGTGGTTGTTTGCGCCAATCCACTGAAATCACCCATGATACAGATCTTCGTCAAATGGAAGCGCGGATGCTACCCCGCCAAACTGTTCCCAGAATTTGTCCTTGTCGGCACTGGGCAGGCTTCCTTGCATGCGTAGATCCAAACAATATGGGTTGCTCTTTTGCCGAAGATCATAGTTCTTATCACGCAGTCGGACTCGCCGCACATCTTGAACTGCGTGCGTGAGACGACAACGGCGACACCTTTGACTTTCGATAATTCTCCCTTGTAGAACAGATTGAATCCACTGTTCCTTCTGGTTTTGGCGCAGACCCATTTCGTTACCTTAAGCGCGCACATGTCGATATTCCTTTCCGCCCAGTATGTCCATAAGCTGGGCAGAACAGCCGGTCAGGGTGCCAATGTTAAGTGCGATCCTGATGTCTTGTGTTTTTTGTTTTTTTAGGACTTCCTAACTTGTGTGTTCGTCACGGTGGACGTCTTAGTTCAGCCGATAACGGTGGGCAACCTAGTTCTGATCGGGATATTTACTATTCCCAGGTTGAGGAAGCGGACATTCTGTGGAAGTTCATGTTGATGCCTCCAGTAGTCAAAACCTGCGCCGACTGGCTCAGTGCCAGGGTCATGCATAGGTCGCGGATTCCGCGATGTAGGGGCCGTAGGCAATGTGCCACTGCCCTTGCTTGTGTGCCTCGCCGTTGAAAGCGGTATATCCTTCGAGTTGGGAATTCATGACAAACTAATTCATTGTAAATGGAACTACAGCATCGCACAGGTCACCCTCTAAGTTTACAAGGTACCCATCACCCTGCCCAACAGGTTGTTCGATAAATATAACGTTCATATTCAATGTTACTGCGCCTCTGGCAGGGACGAAAAGCGTGGCATTGAAAGACAGCTCCTCGCGATAAAAGTGTCAAGGATAATTGCTGATCAATTATGAAACAGTAGCTGATAAGTAATTCCTCAATGAAGGAAAAAAGAAACAAGAGCCCTCAAGAACACCATAAACAAAATCGCGCCCTGACAGTCACACCTTCACTTTTTCACATCTCCCAGTAGTGGATATCATCGAATGCGAAGAAAAGAAAACAAAAAACAACAGAAACATAGAGGAAAAACTCTTGAAAAGAAAAGGAAACATTTAAAAAGCCGGCGTCCGAACTTAGGGTTACGGTAGCGAGCATGTTTTAGTGTAGTGAAGTGCGTCGAGCTTTTGCACCACAGAAATTGCATCATTCGTTTACGCGTTTTACCTTACGAGATGGGTTGCTGTTGACTGTACGTGCTCCCAATGAATAAAATGTGATGAAGGAGAGCAGAATTATTTACGAGCACGAGCGCGGTCAGCAAAAAATACATGCAGTTCCGATTAATGACTGCCGTCCCAACAAGGAACAACTGAGCGGCTCTCCGTCAGAGGGCAGCTAGCTAGTGAGGCGGTCCAACTGAGCAGGCGTTAGAACTAGAACTTTGAGCGGTTCTAGCTCGCTCCTCGCTCGCTGAGGAGTCGCGAGAGTGAGATAGTATCTAGCTTGGGGGCTGAACTACCTGCCCAAGGAAGGACGACCATGTACTACTTGAGCGCGGGGGCTGTCTTTAACAGAGAAGCCGATCAGCGTTTCTTTGTTCCAATCACTATTCATTTCAAAGAGAAAGGGTGTACTAAGATTTCAAGCTTCACGGCCGGATGGAGGTTCTATTTCTGGGGGACCCCCTCACAGCAGATGAAGCAAGCTTTCGGAGCATCCGCGACGGGCGATTTTCCGCTACATTGGAACCACAGCAAAGTTATTGAACCGATCGGGAGAGAAGAATCTGTTGTTTTTGAAATCGTGTAGGTTTACTCTTTACTTTATGTGTGAACAAAGTTGTGTCCATTAGATTGAAATTGCTAAAATTCCCGCTTCTCTAGCGTGAAGCCGACATGCAACTTCAGGGTGGCTCTAGTGCACTTCGTATAGACTTTCTATAGAGACCATGAATCCTGCTCACCGCTCAGCAACTCTGTGAATCGTCTGCGGATGATGGTATATGCTTCATGATTGAACTTTAGTGGATGTGCAGTGGATGTTGCGGCGCTCCGTTTTCACAGCACGCGACCCAACCGCAGATACTGAGAAAGTATATCAACGGCCAGTAAGGGATGCTTGACCCTGCTTTGGGCTGTTCTGTTGCCCTCCTATACAGTTCTGGCGGAGAAGGCGGGGCCTAATGAGCGGGGTGGATGAGAGAGCGACGGAGCGCAGAGCTGAGTAATGTGTGATCGTAAACCTACCATTACCATTGGTGTGCGCTAGAGGCGGAACCCTGAACACTCGTATAATGTAAATAGCTCGCTGCGTACGGTGGGGCGTGACAGATAGTATGAGTTTGGCACGCTGCCAACCCGTTCTCCAAGTTGTTGAAGCGAGCAAATGATATGACTGTATCATATCGTTCGTATTACTCGTTTTCTACCACTTTTTGTCGCATGCGCGCTTCAACAAGAAGGCAGAGAACGGCTTTGACGGGGTGACACACTCATACTGCCTGACACCGTCCGCAGCGAACTAGAGTGTACAACAACGGTTTAAATAAGATAATTGTTCTGCAACTTGCACCCTAAAAAAAGCTTCAGAGAGTCAAACCGAAATCCAATTGAAAACCGTGTTACTTTCACATATTCGTTCATGTGAAAAGTTGAGATCGGGGATTATACGGCATCTCAAAAGTACATACTTTGAGTTTAGGAGTACCAGAGAGAATAACACATCTGCACGCATGCCTGTAGGTAAAGAAGATTCAAAATGTGCTTTGGCATTTTCCTAGAACCATTTGTTCGAGTGTTGCAGGAGTTTTTTCCCAGCCTCATATCCCACACGTTCTCATCTGTGCGCACTCCTTCTCAAGTCTGCCACGCCCACTAAGGCCCGCCCCCTGCGCTGAAACTGTATAAAAGGGCGGCGGTTGTGCACTAGACGGTTCACTGCACTTATCGACTAAATAGCCGAAAAAAAAGGAACAGCGAAGGAAAGGGCAGAGAAGAATGTTTGTTTGTTTCTGCGTGCAATGTCTAATTAGTTACACTGTTGTTTATTTATGGAACAGAAATTCTGTAGGTGCAGGCATGGAGACAAGTGTGGTGTTTTGTTGATTTCAAACCCAAGCTGTAGCAGTAAAGTAGTTCTGAGATGTCGTATGAGGGCAAACGTTATGGTTCCCAGCTGGATAGCAACTGTTGTTGAGGAACTGATGGGGGCCTTTGTGGCCTTTTGCAGTCTCGAGCTCCTATTATTTGCATGAATAGTATCCAAATTGAGAACTGAGGGCTTAGCTCGATGTTTGTTGCATCGATACCACGGTGATCGCTCGAAAGGGACCAGAAAATTATGTATACGAGAGCAAGACATAGTCTTTTGCATCGACAAAAATTCACTTACTTTTTCAACCCACGCAATAGAAGGCAAGGCAGCGGCTTTTCGCTTATATCGAACACACACTGATAACCTGTGAAGCGAGTAATAGATGTGAAAATATGGTAGAACAGATAGAATTCGTACCACTGTGATAAAGGAGGATTGGCTATCGCCACTTGCACACCGGAAGGAAACGTAGCGCGAGAGCGACTGCCGCGACGCAGCCGCCGCAAATTTTTATTGAAGCTGCCTTTTTGAACGAACAGTTGTGGTGAAAAGTGTTTTTGCTCTTTTCTCTTGTCACTGTTGCTCGCTCTTTTTGATTTTCTCTCTTTCAGTCTGTAGTAATCATTTCCAGTTTATACTATGGCCCATTTCATCACACCGATCGATATACCTGGTATTGTGAAAGATTTCCAAAGAATTGTGGTTGATTTGAAAGAAAGTGACAAGGTTATGAATGTTCTCTCTATATTTTTTCATTTGGCCCTGTTGCACTGCCGTGAACTTTTTAAGATCAATCGTTCACTGTCTTATGCACATCGTGTCGCCGATGTTATCCAGAGGAGGTGTGGTGATACAGCAATGGTTCGTACCTTCTCGGGTTTGGCTTAATTAGTACTTGGACTGAAATAGAAAGAGCCTTTTCATCATTTTTTCTCTCTCGTTTCCTTCACATATTCCACTGCTTCAGGGCCATGTTCCCGGCCAAGATTTAGAGGAGCACAAGAAGAAAAGGAACAGACAGGTTAGCTCTTGGTATCCTTTCCTATAGGGTGTCACAAATTTTACGCAAGCTCGGAATTGAGTAAAAACAGTTTCCTCGTCAGTAGTACCTTTTTATTGAAACGCAAACATAGGAGAGGCCATTTGAGGATTAGCGCCGGAGGAGGGCTTCACGGCTTCTTGGAAATTCCTATCTGCGTGGACCGATGTCCCTGGACCAACGCTGTCACGCACTGCCTTGATAGTACCATTTGGAAGGCTTGTCCTCGGACGACTACTGTTAGGCGTCCCCAATTTATCCAGTTTTGTTTGATGTTTCAAGTACTCTGTTAGCAGTGTGTGAAACTGAATCAAAATTCCGAACATTTTGTGAGCTTGCAGCCAAACGCTTATTGTTTTTGAAAAACTGTTGCAGGAAAAATTGTGTTGTGTTACGGTCTAGTGCCGCATTTGTACCAACTTTAAACTGGTAACTATTAATTGCAGAAACTGCGCTCGGTCCAGATCTTTCGTGAATTTTGGGACTTTACTTACATGTGTAATCTCATTTCTACACTTTTAGGAGTAGTTAGAGCCCCAGAGGGCGCTCGGGTGGAGACCCTCCTCCTCTTTGCTAGTTGCTGCAGTTGTCACTAATAAATTTCAGATTGAAATTTCAAAGGTCCTCTCACTGTTAAGAATTGAGCTTGTCTAGTCACGGATAGTCTCAGTGCTTGTTGCTGAATAAAAAAACATTGGAAACTACCCCAACTTGTCTTTAAGCGAGGTTTTACACGAGCTGCACAGTGCAGCTTATAGGTATCGATAAAGAATGATTCATTCAAGAATTCTCCTGCACTGTCCCTTCTCGACTTTCTTCTCTTTCTCCTTCTGGAGACATTCACCCATTTCATGATGACTGGAAATTCTTCCTTGTTCTGTAGCCTGGTGCCATCTTGGAGATTATCCTGCTTTCACTGCTTCGTAGTTGGGTGACAAAGACGCTGCAATCGTCGCTAGAAAAAGACTTGTTGCCTCACTATACCTTCCCTGATTTGTTTCAGCGATTATTTACAATTGGTGGTTTCGCGTCTGTCTCGCGCGTGTCACGTTCATTTCCGTGTGGGACCATGTGTGGCATTCCGTCCATCTTCCTTTGATCTCAATTGCTCTCACTCGACGTACGGTAGTGCATCGCCTAACTGAATGCTCGTGATAACGGATAGACCTTATTTGGAACATTCTCAGCGGTTTTGTCTGCCTTATTCTTACTGATGAGCCTGAATGCTTCACTGAATGCATGCACAAAGTCATATTGTTACTCGTTTCACTTTGTCTTACCATCCGACATACGTCTTTGAGTGACCGGCGCATGAATTCGCATTTGAAGCGTTTTAGCTGCGTGACTTTAATGGGAATCGCCAACTGCGACAGCTTTATGAAGACTCACAATGGACTCTGCATCTAGTGATGGAAGCACACCGTAGGTTAATGGAGGCAACTTTCGGGAAAGATAATGATTTGGCTGTGTCAAGAAGGCGAAGCGAAGAAGAGATGGTATGTCATTTTGTATGTTATTAAACTGCGTTCATATTTTGGAGCAGCGTTTTGAGCGTATGGCATGGTTTGAGCGCTTAGAGTGGGTGCAGGCATTCAGATACCCGAATCGGCGTGGCTACAGGGGACAAGGTCTCGACATGGACAACAACTTTACCAACTTTGTCCCGCCATAGATGTAAGACGGGAGCACTGCTTTCCCAGTTAAACTCTCCCAATGCCATCAAGCATCGGTGTTGAATGTTTCATCGGATGGTCATACGTAAGACCTCATAGCCATTACTTTTCCCTCTGCCTAATGTCTACCTTAGTAGAAAAAAACTGACTTTTTTTTTCGTTTTGGAAATTGTGAGTTCAGATGGAAGCACTCTTGATAGCTCTCAAACAAGAGAGAAAACTATCTCCCAAGCTCAGAGAAGGCTGAAGCTGAATTATTCTTGTGCAGGTCGAGGCCTCGCCCTGCTGTGGTCGCGCCCATCCGGGTATCTAAACTTCGCCTCTCGCTGAGAGCAGCGAGGACATGGTATCAACCTCGCGTGCGCCTGCGTTTTCAGCGAGTGCCCCCGAAAATTCAAAGCTACCACCGAAAACGTCCAAAAGGTTAGTGTAGGCTCGAAAGGCTGGCTAGGTCGGTACTTCCGTAGTCGCTTGAACTGCTGGCGTCAGCTCAACCGCTGGTACGTTGAGAACGCTAGATTGATATCCATGATTTCTTAGTCGCTTTAAACGCTGCTGTTCAGTTGAAACGCTTGAAGCGTTGACAAAAAGTATGAGCGCAGCCTTACGGTTCCGCCTACAGAGTTGTAATGAAAAAGGATTTTCAGGAAAATATCAAACAAGGGTTCTATTTCAATGCTGCACGGATGACAAAAGCGGTTCATGACGTTTTTGAGCATGAAAAGGCAATGTCAGGAAAGATTCAGAAGGTGGGTGTCTCAGTAGTTGTTGAACATTTTTTTTTTACACCGCTTTGTCATCAGGTTGCGCGGTTACGAATTTTGCATCCATCTTTAGGTAATGTGTTTTTTTGTGTCGACTTTCTCTGTAAGAGATTCCATATGAACTGATCATGGAAAAGGTAGTGGAGAAGGCTCAATCTTCCAACAAGCCAACACAATCCCCCCCCCCCAGCACCCCAACTATGCTCTCCTGAAGGGTTTCGCACTACGATGTTATACACTGGTTACCTGGTTCGACTTTTATCGCTGATAAGTGTGCGGAAGTGAAGCTCAAGCTTCGCGATAACGGAATGTTCTTCACATTTTCGCCCTTCTATCCAATACGGTGAAAGCACTACGGTTAAGCAAGTTGCCACTTTGTCAGCCGTATGTCCCAGCCTCGCGATCCATCATTCTGCGTCCTTTCTCTTGTGGCGGAGTGACATTGCTCTATACAGCTTTGCGAGACCTTATAAGCCCAGGTCCACTTCTTTAGCGATACTGTTGGCACATGCGCGCATAGTGTGGCGTGTACCCAGCGAAAGGCGGGGAGAAATCAAGAACCTCTAGTGATCGCAGCCTTTCACCTCTATTTTCAGGAAAAAAGATAACTTCCGTTTTGGGAGGAATTGAGTCAAAATGTCGTTGAGGGCTCCCTACCCAAGTTCTGTTCGAATCACTCAATCTAGGAGGTTGTCGCACTTTCTAGATGACAGGAGCGGCTTCTTCAAGAGAATGGGTCACCTTCAGATACTTTGATTCCACAGTTAATGCAGCTCCCGCGATAAGTGTCTTGGATAGTTGCTTTTCAATTATGAAACAGTAGCTGATAAGTAATCTCCCAAAGAAGAAAACAAGCAAGAAGCGTCCTCCAGAACAACATAAACAAAATCGCTCCCTCACAGTCACACCTCCCTGCGGTCTCTGTGCAACCCCTAGCTCACAAATCTCTCTATCACATCTCGCAGTAGTTGATATCATCCAGTGCAAAAAAAAGAATACAAAAAAAAAAACAACAAAAACGCAGAGGAAAAACTCTTGGAAGGAAAAAGAATTTTTAAAAACTCGGTGTCCGAATTTTACGGTAGCGCACATTTTAGTGCACTGAAGTGCGTCGAGCTTTTGCACCACGAAAATTGCGTCACTCGTGATTTTTACGCGTTTCACCTCGCGAAATGGGTTGAGTTGAATGTATAACCCCCATGAGTAAACTGTAATAAAGGAGAGCAGAATTATCCATGGGCAGCAAAAAGGAGATGCAATTCCGATTAATGCCCGCCGCCCCAACTAAGAACAACTGAGTGGCCTCGTCGGAGGGCATCTAGCAAGTAAGGCGGTCCAACTGAGCAGGCGTTAGAACTAGAACTTACAGCGGCTGTAGCTCGCTCCTCGCTCGCTGTGGAGTCGAATAGAGTGGGACAGTCTCTAGCTTGGGGGCTGTACTACTTGCACAAGGAAGGACGACCATGTACTACTCGAGCGCGGGGGCTGTCTTTAACGAAGTTGCCCGCTAGCTGTGCCGTCAGAAATTTGTATAAACTCTTTGAATCACGTTTTTCAATGAAGTGATATCATGATATGTGTGTGTGATGTGATATGTGATGGTGATGTGTGATGTGGTATGTCTGACCTTGTCGGACTGATGTTGGAACCTGATCCTCAAATGACATGGAACTTGAGTGATTCGCGCCTTCATCGTGTTACTCGTTCCAGAGAATGGAAGAACTTCGGGTGAGGAATGAAATACTCCGATGTATTTTGGATAGCGAAGCCGGAGCTGATATTTAAAGTCTACGAGCGGATAGAGAACAAGTATGCTTGTTTCTTCTTGCCACAAGTAAATATTGTCATCGCACGGCTTCCGGCGCGATCTGCTCATTGCAGGACCCCCAAACACTCTCCGAGACCCTTCACATGACGAATCCATTCAGTCCCCTCAGGATCAAGAGAATAACGTCGATCATGACGAAGAAGCTACTCCACGGAAGAAAGCAAGCGTCGTTCCAAATACGAACATTAACGAGTGCTTCCTTATATTCTTTCCTTCATGGTCTCTTAGCTTTATACAATTTTTTCTTCAAAAGAGTTCATACGTGCAATTATTTTCCTTTCATCATTGCACCATCGTTAAGGTGACACGAATTGTCTATGAAAGAAATGACCTTTATATTTCTGGTGGTTTTTCTAGCCCATTGCGGTTTAGTTGCTCGAACAATTACCGATTTTTTGCTTTGATTGCTTTTTTCATGCGATGACGTAAGATGCAGTGTGCGAGCGCTATAATGTTCATTTGGACAGAATATAAATAATCGAGACTTTGGTTGTTGGTGCTTGCTGGCCATTTTTTTAAAGAAGATAGTAATTTTGTGAGGAAGATCTCAAAAACAACTACTTATTTATTGGTTTATTTATTGATTTATTTGGTTATTTATCATGAATGAGCAGATGCGCCACAATAAAGATATGTGGAACTTGGCTAATAAACGCAACACACATAATACAAAAAACTCTAATAGGCAATGGCAATTCGCACAGGGAAGGAATTCTCTACACTCAGATATCAGAAATTTTGAACGCCTGTTAATGGCGAATAGATCTATTACACCTCCAATACTCTCTGATATGAAGTACCGTTTTGAATTATCTGATCTGTTCTGCAGAGGCAATGGATGTATTAGGTTGTTGCATAAGTTCTTTCCCCCGACTTTTTTGTAAATATCTCAATAGCGAACCAGCCTGAAGATTAGGTATGCACCATCACCATCCACTACTCGACGCCAACGCTCAGGCAGCTTGTCGATTCCATCGTCCCAGAAGGACGGGGGCTGGGACCCGAAGAAGGCCACAATCAACTGTGACATGGTTTTGCACTGGTAATTGTGCGGCATTGTAGCCTGCAAATGCAGGGTGGGTGAGTGATAGCTATCATGTACACGTCACGCACACGTGATGACGAAATACCAACTCCATGCAAACGAAATACGGAAGGATCAAAACAGGGGGAAAAACTTATGCAACAACCTAATAGAAACAATTCTAATCGCTCATGGACCTGACGCCTAGCGCAAAAGCAGAGGCCCAATAGTGCGATTTCCCATTATGAGCAGCTGAATTAGCCTTAGCGAATCAAGATCGGAAATGTAAGTGTATACGAGACTTGACCTTAAATATTGGTATGACGTTGTTAGCTGGTTAGTACCCTGTGCAGTAGAGCAGTCATGGCTATTTGTAGCAATACAAAACTTCACATAAGTCTGAAATATACTTCCCAGCATTTCAGTGACAGATGTTGAAATTTGTTGGAAATTTTGTTGGACGATGCGGCTATTTTAGTGATATTTTACATTGAAAGTGTCGGCCTCTCTGACATTACTGACATAATGAGCTCTGAATAATAAGTCAACACCCGATTCCGAATAAAAATATCTGTATTCTTAGAAAATCTAGGGTGCGTTCATCGCCACGGTTCGAGATTAGGCGGTTTGAACGAATTAAAGCACTATGGCACAAAGTGCTACGCCAATGCTGTACTGCCGAATGCATAAAGGACCCATGAACAGGAGCTAATATCTACTCATGAAATGATAAACACACATCATAATCATGGTTGTCTACAAAGCAGTGAGAACTTCGAAGTTTTCACGGAATGCTCAAATTCCTCCAGCTGGGCACAGAGCGCTTCACTAAAAGCGGCGAAGAGAAATTGCTCAGAAGGTGTGTCTCACCCTACGATATAAGATATTAGAAATCCAGCTGCTACTTCGTGTAAGTACTGTTACGCTCATGCTGTACCTTGACAAATGGATTAAAAATCCGCGAACAGAGGTTAGTATCTATTCATGAATTAATGAACACACACCGCAATCATTGCTGCCCACAAAGCAGCGGGAACTTCGATGATCTCGTGGAATGCTCGAATTTCTTTTGGGCACAGAGGGCTCCATTGAAAGCAGGAAAGAAAAATCGCTTTATATAGTTCCCGTGATTAAAATAATTAGATTGATATCCGTCTAGTCTTTATCTCTGCGCTCTCTCTCATTCCCGTCCTCTCTCTCATGCCCGCCCCCTTGGCCAGTTATAAAAGGGCAGCGGCCCCTCCAAAAATTGCTTAATTGCCGTTTGGTTTCCATACATTGCGACTGACGGCAATAAAAATCAACCCAGCGACGTATGAGTGCACAGAAATTTGGGGCGGTACTGGCGACCATGGGCCTACCTCACCATCGATGGCTAACCCATAATATGAAGTTCTGCTTATATAGAAAAATGAAGTGGTATTAGAATCTGAATAGGATGGTCTAAAATGTCAAGGGGAGCTCTGAAAGGGACATATAACTCTTGCTGAGCGAAGTAAAATTGGAATGGGGGTCTTTTATAGCAGGAAACCTTGCCGTGGTGTTAAGGATAATGCTGACGCTTAAAGGCAGTTGGCACGATGGTTTCCGGCAGCCTAAAATGCTAGTAGGGCGCTGTATAGTGGGGAAATGGCGAAAGAACGGAGTGAAACGGTCAAAATCCTGCGAAGAAAAAGCCTCCGTTCTCAGTGACTTGTAAATCGATTTCGGACGAGTTTCCCGTAGGCATCTTACCAATCACCGCTACCGAAGATACGGCTGCATATGTGTACCCATATATGCATGCAGCATCACGGCCGCTTCATACCAATCCCTTCGCTTCATAATTTGCTTAGCAAATGAGTAAGCGAGCGCGCACCGCGGAAGCTGCGTTTCCTGCTCCTGTCGTAAGACCATATATTCACTAAAGTTTATCCTTAAGGCACCAATAAATAAGTGAGATCACGACGTAAATTACAACTACGACCAGCATATTATACTGAACATGTCTACTACATGAGGCAAGAAACTAAGGTACAGAACGACGGCACTGAGAAGAATCTCGAGCGTCCTCGAGATCGGCAGATGATCGACTGTCGTCGAGATGTCGGCTCGTCCTCGCCTCGCCGTCACGCCCTGAAAGTACAGCCATGAGTCATTCCCACTGGAATGCCGATTCCACGCCTGAGCCGGCGTGGCTTACACCTCCCCCCTTTACCAAAAGTCCGTCCCGGACTTTAAAAGCAGAGACGGTACAATAAGAAAAAGTAGCTCACCAAGTTCTTCAATGGGGAAGGGTAAGATACTGGTCTATGGCACTGGGAGGAATGACGGCGTTGAGAGAGTCGGCCCATTCGAGGACGCGACTCCACGACGGAATCGTGCGGAGAGACGCCGCGTGACCAAAAATGAAGAGGCCGTGACGGCAGCGCGACACCGCGACGTTGAGACGACGGTAGTCATCAAGAAATTCGCCGGAATCTTGAAAGAAATCGGTTTTAGTGGTAAGTAAAATGAGCGTAGTTTAAAGTCTAAAGTCTCTTTATATGTGCCATCCAGGAGAGCGTCCAGCACCTGTTTGGAGCGGGCGCGAAATGCTATCGTATCCTCCAGGTGCTGGAGCTCAATAAAAGGGACTTCCGCTGGCGGTCGATCCGAACGAAAGACCACCTGAGGAAATAGGGACTTATTGAAACGTTGTTCATGCAACCTGAGTCAGGATAATAAGTGGCGGTGTCAAGGGAGAGCGTCACCGGGCGAACATTGACCCGTAGCAGGTGTGTCGGGCGAGGATTGACCCAAGGAGTCCACGGGTCTTCTTCTTCTTCAGCGTTTGTCCCGCTTGATGGCGGGGTCCGCTCTTTTGATATAACTACGCCACTTTTCCCGATTGAATGCCTGATCGGGGTGAATGCCGGCTATTTTCAAGTCGGTATGCAGCGTGTCGAGCCAGCGCTGTTTGGGACGCCCCTTTGGCCGCTTTCCTGGTACCTCGAGTTCGAGAGCAGTTTTACGGACGGTGTCAGCCTTCGCGCGAAGTACGTGCCCGTACCATCGAAGGCGCGTTTCACGCAATTTCTCTGCTATGGGGGCTACACCATACTTCTTGCGCACGACATCGTTACAAATGCGGTCCGATCGCGTGACGCCCGCCGTCCAGCGCAACATCTTCATCTCCATCACACCAAGGCGAGCCTCAACTTCTTTGGTCGCGGGCCAGCACTCGGCACCATATAACGCGACAGGTCGGACGACAGTACGATAGATCTTTGACTTGAAACGCTCTGGCATTTTCTTGTCGCAAAGGATCCCAGACATGGATCGCCACTTAGACCATGCCGCACTCACTCGTGCGCTCACTTCCGAGTTCAGACTGCCATCGGACGCAAGTGCTGATCCGAGATACTTGAATGTTTCCGTGCGCTTGAGCACCGTGTCATCGATCTTAATGGAGCCCTGCTCATTTGGGTCGGTTGTCAGGTACTCGGTCTTGTTGACGTTCAACCTGAGTCCAAACCTCGCCAGACGCTCGGCCCAAGCTTGCACCTGCTGTTCCAGTGCGCTCTTATCTTCACAAGCAAGCATCACATCATCAGCGTAAAGCAGGGTCCAAGGCACTTCCTTCTGAAGATCTCGTGAGATGGCATCCATGACGGCAACGAAAAGAAGTGGGGAGAGCGCAGAGCCTTGATGTACCCCGACGGTGATGGGGAACTCCATTGAGACACCCGCTGGTGAGCGAACTTGGCTCCCTGGGCATGAGTAAAGGATGCGCACCCACTCAATTAGCTCTTCGGGCACGCCATGCCGCCTCAAAGCGTACCATATAACGTCACGTGGCACACGATCGAATGCCTTCTCCAGGTCTAGGAAAGGCTACATGCACGGGCTTTCGCTTCTCACGGTGTTTCTCCAGCAATAGGCGAGCGGCATGTATGGCGTCGACGGTGCTAC